CTTATATAAATATATACATATCTTCAGAATCATAAAAATATTTAATTTTATAAGCTTAAATAATTACTGAATGTTAATACAAAATACATTAATATCTGTATAATTTTACATTTATAAAAAGTTTTCTTGTAGCAGCACACTTGTATTGCAAGTGAAATGTGACCAAATGACATTGCACAAGGACGCCGACTGCACATCAGCTGGGCCAGCTGCAGTGTCCTCTGCAGGGGACATCTGTCCCCACCTACAGAAGAGCAGTTCACAATGCACCGAGGCCGCGCAGGGGTAATAATGTCCCTGACCCTTATAAACACCTCCAAGTTTCCTCCATCCAACCTGCAAGGTTTATTAAAATGTCACAAAGTTACCTTTACTCTAAACAGTTCATAACTAAAATAACTGTATTAATGAATAGTGATTATAAGTGAATCACAGGAACATATTAGGAATTAACTTGCAGTTTCAACATTTAAAAAAAAATACAAAACAAGAGAGACACCATGAGGAACAAGACAGGACGCCGAGGATGGACCTCACACCTAATGACATCACAAATAAAACAGCCCGTCTGTCCATCTCAAACACTCATATTCAGCTTGTTTTTGTTGAGCTCACGTTCCAGATTGCCAATCAAGGTATCAATACTTTCTTGCAGATCTCTGAGGTTGGCTTTCTGATGCACTGTAGACTCAATGGTCTCCATTGTCAAGTACGTCTGAAACGTGCACGGTTTAGACATGGGGATTCGCTGCTCAAGCGTGACCTCTGCTCCATCCACTTTGCTGTAATCTGCATTTTCCCCATCTTCTAGGGGGACATCATCATAATCCAAATCTTTGAGATTTTCTTTCGTACTTAGAACATAGTTTTCCCCACAGCTGCTCCAGTCCCCTGCGTAGCGATTGCTGAGTGGGCTATCCAATCTGGCCTGCCGTGGCCTCAGCATCCCCGACGAGTCCGCGCTGCTGAGATTCAATACACAGGGCCGCTCTTTCTTTCGCCTCAGATAATGCAGAGATGACTGCTCCAGGCACAAACTGTCGGTGGGTTCTTTCACAGTTAAACGTTGCACTAGAAATGAATACGTGTACTTTAGTAACGGCCACCGGCCTGGGACAGACAGAGCACACAAAGAGGCCATTTAATGATCAACTACAAACATGCACTTGAGACATGCGTTCTACTGAAAGCATCCTACAGTGATTTCTCTACCACCAGATGCAATCAAGATTAGGCATAGAGACTAGAAGAACGTTCAGTGGTACTACTTCATGCTAAATAAAAACATTCCCCAATAAAACTCGCAACGCTGATCAACTTTCTGTGCACGTTAATTGTCTAGCTGTCATTCTAAGCTGGTAGCTCCTCTTAAAGACTACAGCAAAAAGCGGACAAGCCATGGTGCGTAAAAGGCACGGAACAAGAGGTTCCTTCTCTACAAACATCTAGCTGAGGCAAAGGCTTCTACAGTGATCGTTCTAGCTCTGACCTTAGTGGGCTTTTTTGCAGTTAGCAGTGTGTCATCAATACCAAGCAGCCCAAATTTCCCTTTGATAAAATGCATCAATATTAGACTTGGTCATTGTTACCTGAGTGATTACACAGCATTAGCTACTAATAGTCTTCCTTTTTTCTGCCTGGAAATAGCACAGGTATTTTATTTTCCAATTCTGGTTAGAGATTTCACAGCCTCAAATAACATTCTTTGGATTTAGACTATCTTCTTCTGAGATAAGCTTCATTCTACCATCCTGTGTTGTACTGGTCATACAGCCGATGACACACACACGTGACTTCACACAAAACAAGACTTACATTGCTTACTGAGAACAACGTTTATTTGTCTAAGGTTCTTCTGCATAGAAAACAGACTGTGTATTTTATGCTAAGACACAGCTATTTAAGAATAGCCACATTATCTCTTTCTGCTTGTTTATTCTCTTCTGCCTCTCCCTTAGAGCTCCCTCTCTAGGATAAGGGGACATAAGCCAGTGATAACATCAATTTTGCAACACAGAATGAAGGTTTGTTTGCAAAAGAAAACAACGTAAGAACGGTACACACATCTGAGTCTTCCACTTAAAATAATATTCCCAACGTTTTAGAGAGATCTTTTACATATTTCAACTTTTATTTTAGCAACTGTACACTGAATGTTTTTAACATTTCTATTTCTTACATTTTTAAAGATCTATTTTGCGGATGAATGTTGTGGCTGCACGTATGTACATGTACAGATTTGTGCCCGGTACCAGAGGAGGACACAAGAGGCGCCTGATCTTATTACTCGCTGTTTCCTCGCTTTCTTCCTGCACCCTCTGTGCTATTTCTGCCCTCGCTCTTGGGCCTGAAGTTTCCGCCAAGCAGTCAACAGCACACTGGCAATCTGGAGAGAAACCCTCGTTTCTCCTGCTCAGTCAGGACTCTACTGAAACTCTACTTTTAGTTTCTTTGGAGACCACTCAAGAAACCAATTAAATCTTTACATTATTCTAAGAATTCAATTTCTGAAACATCAATGTGGATGTCTTCTTAGACTATTGATACTGGGACGTTGTCCTACAAGTTTGTAAGGAAAATGGCTAACCTTAACCCCTGAAGGTCTGCCGTTCCCTGTGCTGCTACCGAATGCCTGTTTTCAACAGAATGAAGAAAATGCTGCCAAATAAGGGTGTTGGAAACGCTTCAAAGCATTTTCCCTCTATTTTATACCCGTAGATTCTAATTCCCTATATTGTTTTCATTTAGAAAACAACACCTTTATTTAATAGAACTATATTAGGTGACCACTAGTGTGAGGAACTCAGACTATGGGGCAGGTAAATATCACCAATGACCTTACAAATTCGAGAACCTAGTAAGGAGCAGGAAACCGCCCCAAATGTATTCATCATGAGGAACGTGGAACAGCAACAACCTTAAATCTATGTCCCTACTCTGAAAATAAGGGTGGACTCACAATAGCATCCAGGATTCTTTCCAATCGCAAACCCATTGCTTTTTTTAAAAGCCCCAAACACAAAGCATATAAAAAGAAGACTGTCCCCTAAAAGTATAAATGTCTCTACTGTGCCAGGACCCTAGCTCACCCAGCTGCAGAGCCTCTGGCAGGGAGATGGGCAGGGTGTGCGGAGGGCAGGGTAGCGTTACCTTCAGGGGCTAACATAACAGGCCTCTCACTTTGCAGACAGGACTTTACCAACAGAAATCTCAAAGTAAATTACCTCTTGCCCCAAATGAGGGGGCGAGGGTAAGATCAGAGAAAGCAAAATGTGTAGCAAAACCACAGATAGATAAATAGATAGATAGACAGACAGACAGATAACAGAAGAGGCTGAAGGAAACTCTTTGATAGTGGAGGAGCACCCCAGAAGAGTAGTTGACTGTACACCTTCCACGGAATGCGCGGGACAGTCCTGGCGCTCTCTACGCCACACCTCGGTTGTCAAAGACGCAGTAACTGCACCTTACTGACACGCTGTCCACCTTTCCCAAGAGCCGTACCAGGCAATTTAGAGGGGGAAACTATTGTTTCCCCTTATCCTCTGCCAGGTTCCGTCTTTTGTCTAGGGTACTTTCAAGGAAAATAACAGGCTATAGAAAAAGGTTATGATTACAACCAGCAACGAAAGTCTCTGGAATACGATGTTGAACACAGGACAGCTGTTTAAGTTATCATTACAATACAGTCAATGGGCTGGAGAGATGGCTCAGAGGTTAAGAGCACTGGCTGTGGAAATGGGTTCAGTCCCCAGTACCCACATGACTGCTACCAAATGTCTGTAACTCCATTTCCAGGGGCTCTGACGTCTACTGGCCTCCACGGAAATTTAAACAGGAAATATATAGACAGATATGCAAGCAAAACACACATACAAAATAAAATAAATCCTAGAAAAATAAAAGGTAGTCAATAATAAATCTATTCCAATTTACAGACACATAGACGTGTGTGCGGCACAGAGAAGGGGGGGGTGCTAGGAAGACGGCTCCGTGAGTAAGCGCTGACTGCACAAGGGTGAGGACCTGCAGTCCCGCAAGGAAGAAGGAGTAAAAGTTGTCCTCAGAGCTCAGGTGCACATTCATAGCCCCACATATTCACGCACAAAATAAAGAAAACGTAAAAACCAAATCTTAAGAATTTTCATATTATCTATGTATGCTTTTCTCTGCATGTATGTAATATGCATTACGTGAATCACTCATGCCCACAGAGGTGAGGAAGAGGCTATCAGATTGTCTGGTACCGGAGCTACAGACGGTTGTAAGCTACTCTGTGGGGCTGGGAGTCGAACCTGAGTCCCCTGGTAGAGCAACTAGTGCTCGAACCACCGATTCATCTCGGTACCATGAAAATCAAATTTTTTAAGACCAAAATATCAAAGATAATTGCCAGCAGAAGCTGAGGTAATTTAAAAATAACCATGTGTACAATAATTCTGTCAGAAAGACTGGACATGGGCTGGAGAGACGAACTGTTTAACTTCTGCCTCAGGGAACCTTTTCTTCTGGCCTTCTCAGACTCTGATATATACAGGCACGCACCACATAAATAAAAATAAAATAAATCTTAAGACTACAAAAAGAATAAACTTAAAAGAAAAATGAATTTTGCTTCAGAACAAATTAAATAAAGGTGAGAAAATAAATTAATAATTGGGTATAATGTGCTCAAAACTGTGCTGCACATTAAGGACATCCTTGTACTTAACTGCCACACGAAGTCTAGAAACTTAGCTTGCCAAGGTCAGAGCATTCACTGTAGGTGGTCCAAGTAGCATCCCAATTCAGGTCTTACCACACCCAAAATGTGCACAATGGCTCAAATGTCTACAACGTTACGAGCAAACGCAAAATATAAGTAGCAAGTGTCAATTCTTCAGTAATGAAAAAAAAGCAAAAACCTAGATTTTTCCCCCCCAATTACATCCAGGCATTTTAATCATCAGCTAACCCGTACATCCCGTGGCTGCTAAAGAAACGTCCAGAGACCCCTTTACCTGGCCAGAGCTGGAGCAGGTAATGAAGAACTTCAATGTGTTTTTTAAAATCCAAAGCGCTGGCGAGTTCTTCGGAATCCGTGAAGACTCTGTTGTTGTGGGGCGAAGTCTCATGCCTCTGATTGAGCAGCACTGGTCCAAAGCACACAGCCAGATTCTGGCAGGTCATCTTATTCACTTCGTGGTACGAAGCCACCAACTTCAGGTGGTCTAGCAACATCTTTAGGGTTGCCTGATAAATATGTTCCAACATAACTTAATCCACTGAGTGGTTAGACGGCCACGTAAAAGACTAGCAACATATTCTGAATTCCAATGGGCCCCCTTCAGAAAATACATTTCCCATCAACTCACTCCTTCGTCCTCGAAGTGACCCTGGGGTTGCACTAGGGGACTGGACTGCCACACCAGGGAGCCTGAACTTAGAAAGGGGCCAGGACTGCAGTGATTGATCTACTAAAAAAGTCCACCATGCTTCTCGTCTCCCCACCGTGCTTTTTAACCAATAAATATTTTATAAACACACAAAATTATAAAAATGGAAAAATAATGGTTAGAATTTTTTTTAAAAAATGTATTTTCTGAATCAGGCATGGTAGTGCACGCCTTCTAATCCCAGCACTTGGGAGGCAGAAGCAGTTTGAGTCTAGCCTGGTCTATAGAGAGAGTTCTAGGACAACCAGGGTACACAGAGAAATCCCATCTCAAAAAATCAAATATATACATATATATGGGTATATATTTCCCGAGAAAATACTGTTTTAAATTCTTAAGTTAATTAAGGAAGTTGACTCAAAGACTATCTAAATTTTAAACACCTAAGGGAAAGAGTGATTTTTTAAAAAATAGTATATTTTATCACCATTCCAAGAAATGAGGTGTAATTTCTTTTTATATTATATTAAACCAATGAATGTTTATTTAAAACTGCTATTCAGGGACTAGAGAGATGACTGAGTGGTTAAGAATGCTTGCTGCTTTGGCAGAGGACCAGAGTTCAGTTCCTAGCACTTACATCAAACAGCTCCCAGTGGCCTGGAACGCCAGCTCCCAGGGGATCCGGCACCCTCTTCTGGCCTTTTTAGGCACCATGCAAGCACATGGTGCACATACATACACAGTGGCACTTTATATACACATAAACCTTTTAGATAGATAGACAGACAGATGGGTGATAGACAGAAAGACAGACAAACCGTTCCCTAGTTTTGATTTGCTAGAAATTTCCTTTACTTTCTTTTTCATTTTTTCTTTTTCTTTTTGTACCTCTGGCTGTCCTGGAACACATTTTTCAGACCAAGCTGGACTTGAACTCACAGAGATTCTCCTCTCAAGTGCTAGGATTAAAAGTGTGCATTACCACTGCCCGGCTAATAAAATAAACCTTCAAAGCAGAACTTAGAAGGCACATAGGCACATGCATGCTTGGGCTAAAGTCACACACAGAGAACACAAAACTGATTTCTGGACACATTCAAGAAGTGGAAAAGGCAGAGCCTAAACCCGAGTGCACGAATGTCAGAGACGTAGGAGACTGTACGGTGATGGCGCTTCAGCATGGGCTCCTGCGAGCTTTCGGGAAAGACGTCGATCACGTTCACTCACCTTCTCAACATCCGGCAAGCAATTCAGCAGGCCAACGGTGAACTTGGAGTCACTGGACTCGGACTCACAGCCATTCGGTGGCATTTTCAGAGGGTTTTTCACCATTGCGTCTAACACAGCCTCGTACAGCTGCTTCGTTATCAGGGGAGCAGGGAGTTCTCTTAGATAGTCCTTAAGGACACCTGTGGGAATAGACCAGAGACAGCCCTGATGCGTCTCCGCAGTGGAGTAAGCACAGGGAACGCTTCAAAAATGCAAACGCTATGGCAGTCGACTTGACATTCTGAAAACAATATAAACAACAACATGAAAAGTATCATCAAAAAAACCACTGGCAATTTGCATTCGTGTAAGTTTCCTTCGTAATTAACTCTGTTTGGAACATGCTAAAAACAGACATAATTTCCATAGTTTTGCTAAGTCATGATGAAAGATGTTCTTAATATATAAGCTCTCCTGACTCTGCCCCCACGAGAAGATTCCGCGCGTGCAAGCAGTTAAGAAAGTAAGACAAATGCATGTTAGTTGTAAACTATTCAACTGCCCAAATTTTGAGCTTGTAAACTTTTAGTGGGTAAAGGGACACCAATTGCCCAAAGCCTTTGTAAATTGGTGAGGGACATCAGGGAAATCAACATATTTCCTCTCTAACTCTGCACATGAGTCTTAGATATACGAGATCGTTAGTCTCTAATGTTCTGTCATTCAAAAGGAAAAGGATCACTTCTTATACCAAGTACATTAAACAGAAGTCAAGAACGGAAGGCATCAGATTTCTCACTGTGAAAGTTAAGAGAAGTCTGAAGAATATTGGGAAGCATAAAAACTGTGTCAAGAGATGACTATAGTACATGTATTTTTAAAAACACTTTAATTCAGCAGCAAAAGGGAAGGCAGAACCTGCCTCTATACCATGTCTAGGGCTTCGCCATCCAACGGAGTCTTAGTGATACTGCCTGAAATTAGGGGACACAAGAAGAAACGACAGTTTTGCAGGTAGGCAGAGTGTCTATGGGATGTGTAAGTTTGCTCCATACAAAACTTAGGAGGCTTAGGAAGACAGGAGCAAAGAGCTGGACCTGAGAACGAGCAACTTAAAGATGACTGTGGAAGGTGTTGGGATCTGAAGTTCAAGGTCATTTCATCTCCTATCACACAGCAAATTCCAGGACAGCCTGATAACTGAGCGCCTCTCTCTCTGTGTCTTTCTCTCTCTCTCTCTCTCTCTCTCTCTCTCTCTCTCTCTGTGTGTGTGTGTGTGTGTGTGTGTGTGTGTGTGACAGAGAGAGTATTGGGAAGCATAAAAACCGTGTCAAGACATGACTAGGAAATAGTTCCAAAGGGAAGAGCTCTCTCAAACACAGCTAAGGAAGAATGACGAAAGACCCACGTGGTCAGAAAAGATGCTCTCAGGGATGAATAGAAAGGCATGCATGGAGACCTCTTTCCTCTTGCGGCCATTGCTGGATCGCAGCCGCCAAAATGAAGTTCAATCCATTTGTGACTTCTGACCGGAGCAAGAACCGCAAACGGCATTTCAATTCACCTTCTCACATTCGGAGGAAGATCATGTCTTCCCCCCTTTCCAAAGAGCTGAGACAGAAGTACATTGTTCGCTCGATGCCCATTCGAAAGGATGACGAAGTTCAGGTTGTCCGGGGACACTACAAAGGCCAGCAGATTGGCAAAATGGTCCACGTGTACAGGAAGAAATACGTCATCTACATTGAACGGGTGCAGCGAGAAAAGGCTAATGGCACAACTGTCCACTAGGGCATCTGATGGAGGAAGGTCATTGGCTAATAAAGAAACTGGCTTGGCCCATTTTATTGGTTAGAACATAGGTGGGTGGAGTAAACAGAAGAGAATGCTGGGAAGAGGAAGTGAGGTCAGAAGTAATGCAGCTCCTCTCAGAGCCAGACGCCTCAGACAGAGAGGCATGCTCCGCTCTCCCGGGCAGATGCATGCAATGAAGCTCCTCCGACCCAGGATGGACATAGGCTAGAATCTTCCCGGTAAGCGCACCTTGGGGTGCTTACACAGATGATTAGAAATGGGCTAAATTAATATGTGAGAATTAGCCTAGAAGAGGCTAGATAGAAATGGGTCAAGCAGTGTTTAAATGAATACAGTTTGTGTGTTGTTATTTTGGGCATGAGCTAGCAGGCGGCCGGGGTGCTGGGGACGCAGCCCCGCCGCTTCTTATTTCAACAGGCATCCACCCCAGCAAGGTGGTGATCACTAGGCTAAAGCTGGACAAAGACCGAAAGAAGATCCTGGAAAGGAAAGCCAAGTCTCGACAAGTAGGAAAGGAGAAGGGCAAATACAAGGAAGAAACGATTGAGAAGATGCAGGAGTAGGGGCGTCTCATACAGTTTCCATTAAAGACTGCTTGAGTAAAAAAAAAAAAAAAAAGAAAGAAAGGCATGCATGTTGCCAAGGAGGACAAGGAAAAGCTGCCTCAAGACAGACTCTGGGGTACCAAATGATACACAGTAACTTGGTTAGAAAAGAATGGCCATAAATGCCAGGGGGCGCAGCCCATTCCTGCCCCACCACATCAGGATCTCCTGCCAGGACCCATGCATGTATTTATAAACAAATTCCTCTTCTGAGTGTATGGCAAAGGGTTTCTGTAGCAAGGTCTAGGAGCCAATGACCTAATGGCAATTAGAGATAAGGACCACAAAGAGAAGAGCCCTGAGAAAAGGACATCAGCTGTGTTGGCAAGCGGTAAAGGACGGAGCCAGACGGCTGGCTAGATGAATAGGCATGAAAGAAGACAGCAGAAAGGTCTCCAAGGCCCAGGAGAGAGGGGCTGGAACCAACTCGGGAAGTCCCCAGAGAAGAAAGCAGAGACTCCTGAGAAAACAGGAAGGGATGGAATCAGTTCAAGATGTCGGGAAGATCGTGTGTATCCCACACCCAGAGAAGAGGGGAGGATGAGAAGACTCACTGAGTGGTCAAAGCAGAAGGCACTGCTCGCCCCTGAAGGCGGCGTCCTTCTCTGTGGTGTGAGGAGACGAGGGCATCAGAGGGGTGATGTATCTGTAGACACCGGAGAACAAGGGGTGCAGCACAGCGGAGAGAGGGAGAGAGGACAAGTCGGGGAGAGAGAAAAGAAAAAGAAGCAATCCCAACACATTAGCACCAAAAAGAATTAAATACTTGCGGGAAACAAAAAAGGTACAAAATTTTACTCAGAAAACTAACAATTCCTCTTGAAAAAAATTATAGGAGAGCTTAAAAAAATGCAGCAAGTCTATGTTTATGTACCTGAAGATAATAACACTCCCTAAACTGATTATAGAATCAATGCAGATCCTAACAAAATCCTAGCCCATAACTCAGTGAAAGAGTGCTTGCCTAGCATGTATGATCCTTGGGTTTGATCCCCACTGTCACCAAATAAATAAAACAAAATCAATCTACTTTGTCACCAAAACGTATAAACTGATCCAAAAAGTTCCACCCCACTCCGTATCCTGCCCCCATCCCCCACCCCACTCCTCCAACCCCCACAGCAGGGGCAGCGCTAGGGTTAGGAACTGAACCTAGGTTTTCGGTGCTGGACACAGCCTCAGCCCCCAGGAGGCCTTCGTTTATCCACAACGTGATTCCTGCAAAGTTATACTTGGTTGTTGTCTGTTTTGTTTCATTGAGTCTCTCTACATAGCCGGCTGCCCAGAGAATCACTATGCAGATCAAGCTGACGCTGAACTCACAGAGATCCACCTGCCTCTGCCTCCCGAGAGCTGGGATTAAAGGCAGGCAACAGCAGGCCTGACCTAAGACAAGTAATGTTTTAAAGAAGAGTTTAACTTGGTTCATGGTTTTGGAGGTTTCAGTTCGTGGCTGGCTCCATGGCTAGGTCTGTGGTAAAGCAGAAGCTCAATGGAGGGGCATGGAGAAGGAGCTACCTTCTACCTTCTAGCTGCTGGGACGTTGAGAGCAGGAGGCAGAGACCAGGGACAAGGAGCAACCTTCAAGGTCACAAACGGGTAAAATAGTTCCTTCAACCAGGCCAGGTTTTCCATCTTTCCACCGTCTTCCAATAATGGTATCAGATTATAAATCCACCAACCGGTTAATCCACTGAGTCAGAGCCCTCATGACCCTGTCATGGCCCCAAGCTCATCCCTGCACACTTTCTTCAGGGACATCTCCCATCCACACCATAACAGTACCTGAAAATGCAAGTCTCATCGTACAACCTAAACAAGACGATAGTGTGGCTTAGGCATCGCTAGACATACATATGCTGATGACAACTGGTACATGAATGTCACAGCAGCTCTACCGGTAACAACCCCACACTGGGAACCAGGCAATGAATGGATGAGCCAACGCCGTCATACCCGCTGCATCCAGAGAGTGGAACACTGTCTGGCATAGACACTTGGAACGACATGGGGGAATTTCAAAGTAATTTTGCAAGTAAACAAAACCACATCTGTTTGCTTATAAAAAGCAAAAGCAAAGTCCCTCCTGTATGGTTCTATTATATAACTTTTAGAGAACAGAACCAATTTATAGCAATAGGAAGATCTGTGGCTGCCTGTGAATGGGGGCAGTGGGGTGGTGGATTGTGCATGCAGAGGAGACTAAGGAGGACACAAGGGGACACTGGGGACACTTGTATCCTTGATACTCTTTGTGGCTATGGTCTCATGGCGCATATACACGTGAAAACACCAGCTGCATGCTTTAAATACATGTGCTTTATTTTATTTTATGGCAATTATGCCTCAATAAAGCTGTTGTATATGATTAACTACTGGCATTGCGGGGTGGAAGCTTTGCCAGCCGGAAGAAACAAAAAGGGGCCATGGAAGGACACTCAGGACATTTGATGGAAGTAACTGAATAATGAACCATAGGAAAGAACACTGTAACAGCAGGGACTAAGGAGAAAGCAGCAGGCACACGTAAATTAGGGGAGGCTAACTCAGTGGGAAAAAGCAACTGGAAAAGGAATGAGGAAGCCTGAGGACAGGAAAGGCTAGAACTGGAACGGAAACAATTCCAAATTTTAGCAATAAACGGATTCTGGATCTTAGGAGTGAGTCACCAAGTCGAGTTGACGAAGAGGTCACCTGGCACCAGGCCAGGAGGCACACGGGTCACGAACCCTACCTGGTACTTGGGAGGCTAAGGCAGGACTGTAAGTTCGAGGCGAGTCAGAGCTATTTAGTGGAGCTCCGTCTCAATCAACAAGTCACTTGGGACAACAAACCCAAGAATCTAGTGTTCGGAATTTGGTGTTTGCATGCTAAAATCATTTAAAATGATGGAAAATATAAGCAGAAAGAAGGTATCAAAGATTTCACTACACAGACTTCACACACTCTGTCCCGTGCCTGTTCGAAAACACAACGCATCCCACTCTGTTCCAGACGAAAGGACTACTAAAAAACACATCAGCTTCTGAACACACAGCGCACGCATTTCGTTCCTTTCCTGCGTTTAGACTCACTGAGCTATTATTTTCCAGAGTTTATGCAGAAATGTAGCTCATGCAGAGGAAACACTCGAGGCAACGTCACCACTGGCTAGTTCCCAAACCCACGGCACTCTCTCTTTGGAGGCACGGTGGCCCCGTGTGGAATTTATCCCAATTCCACCGCTGTTTCTCAAACAAATCATGTCATTGTTTTTTTGTATTTTTTTTTATCAAGAAAGGAGCTCAAATTCTTTTGTAAAATAGTTTAACTGAAACGGAACAGTGCAAATAACAGAGGGAAGAACCATGTAGTTTGTGGCCTCAGACTCTCCTATTTAGAAAAGAAAGTTACAAACCAGGCCTTCGCGAACCTATATTCACGTCTACAAACACTGCAAGTATCCAGACTCCAGGTCCCTTCTTAAACAAAACAGTCAACTCAAATCACACCTTCCATCTCTAAATACTCAGCGGCTTCACTGAGACAAAAATTTACTTTTAGTTTCTACTTTCCTAGAAATAGCTACCTCTATACAATTTTCCTTTAATGAATTCTTAAAGCGAATCCTTTGCTAATTTCACAAATTATATGTTATCTCTTTTTTAAGTAACAAACCTCTCTACAAAAGACGTAGTTTCTGATTTGTTAAAAATTCATCAAGCCAGGTAGAAAAGGCATGGGAGGGGGAGGCAGGACCATCTCTGTGAGTTTGAGGCCAGCATGATCTATATAGAAAGTTCTAGGTCAGCCAGAACTACATAGTGAGACCCTGTCTCAAAACATAAAATGAGGGGCTGGACAGATGGCTCAGAGGTTAAGAGCTGGCTGTTCTTCCAGAGGACCTGGGTTCAATTCCTAGCACCCAACATGGTGGCTCACAACCATCTGTAACTCCAGCTCCAAGGGATCCAAAACCCTCACACAGACATACATGCAGGCAAAATACCAATGTGTGTAAAATAAAAAAATAAATCATCTTTAAAAAGTTTCAAAAGAAAGTAAATAACGAAATATTCATAAGAGAGGAATAATGCCTTGGTTTGCTTCTCTTAGTAGTGAACTGCTTGAGATCAGAGTTACAACGTTCAAAATGACAGAAAACACTCTAGGGAAATAAGCCACTCAGTATCCTGAGCCAGAACCTCAACTATCCCTACCCTGCAATGCTAAAAGTAAACTTCAAGGTACAGTATCAGTAAGCAGTAAGTGAATTTTTCTTAAATGCTTACCTAAACTTAATCGTGTATAAAATAAGAAAACAAATTAGGAGGGAAACATCAACACATCAAGAAAAAAAAACTGTTAACAACCAAGCATAGAAAACAAAACTATCAAAATACCCTGAGGCCAGAGGAACCCACTGGGGCATCTACAGATGGAAGGCTTTGACGCCTGGGTCTGCTTCTCAATAGTCTTGGGTTGGAGGGGATCACATAGGGGAGAGAAGATGAGCTGGTCAGGAGCTGCGAACTATGAAAACCAGGTGAGCGGAATGGATGTACCTCTACTCTGGCCCCCAAATGTTAGTAATTAAAAGGTAAAGAAATTGTAGGTGGAAAAACAGACCCAGAAGATTATTGGTAAGGTGAGGAGCAACCTCAAATTCAAACACCGTTCCTGTTCTCACAATACCCGCCTCCACACCACAATGCTGCCTCACACTGTCTGGAACCTCTCCTGGCTCTGCTTTCCCAAACTTTCCATCTCCTCCAAACTTTCCAAGGCTCTTCCTTCTTCGTCTGCCTCCAAAGCTTTAGATCACCAAAGTTCTTGTCTTTTTAAAGTTTTATGGACAGTCCCAGGATTGAATTTCCTTTGTCAGTCACTCTCAACAAGCTCCCATTATTCAAGTCCTCACAACTGCTAGTGCTGTTTCCAGTGCTAAACACCGGGACAGCTGTCGTCACTACCGGGACAAAGATGTCTCTGCACGCTGGGCACGGTGGCGCTGACCCAGAACCCCAACATATGGAAGGCTGAGGCAGGAGGATTGCAGTTACTTAATGAGACCTAGTCTCGGGGATAGGAAAGGAACACCTCGATCCCCAGCAGATGAGAACTCACTCCACTTGATCTCTCCATCCCCATCCCCTGCTTCAAAACTTCATGGCAACGTTCCCCAACATTTCTGCAGCTAAAACAATATCCCTGCTCCAACGCATTTATTTCTGCTGATAGTACAAGACCAGCAACGGTTCAGAATCATTCCTCTTGCTTGGCTTTGGGTGCTTGTTTGCGCCCTCCATCCCCCTGCCTCCCCAGCCCACTCCTCCTCCCAGCCCAGCTGCACTGGAAGAGTTGGGAAAGTGGTTCCTTGATTTCTTTCTCTTCAACCCATCATACAGTTACAAAATTAACATCCCCCAAAACAGCCTTCAATGACCCCACTCCCCTACTCAAAGGTCTTGATTGGACCCCTTCCACCTATTAAATAATCTAAATTCTCTGACCAGATGGGCCATTTCCTTTCCACCAATCACCTAAGCACCAGTCAAATTGAACTCCTGAGCCATTTTAGTTCTCCCCATGAAGACTCGGACCTGCTGTGCTGAATGTAGCCCGGGTCTCACTTCCCCCATCACTGGCTGTATCTTAATAACTCCCTTCAGAAAGTAAGACTCACAGTCTTGTGGGGGAAGGAAAGTTAGACTTCAGAACAGAATCAAATCAAACGCAGGTTATAAAAGCGTGTTTCCACTTTCTCTCCTGCAGGTGTAGTCTTTCCAGAATGAGCATAAAATGAAATCTATTTTTTACCTGTTATTACATTTATATCTGGGTACTGGTTTTCACACAGACCAACAGTTTTGCTATCCTTCTCAAAAGCCTCGCGAAGCTCTTTCTTGACAGCTGCTGAACCACACAATCGATACAGGCCTACGACCTAGAAACAAAACGCCACGTTACGGAGAGGATAACGAATGCAATGGCATACATCACGTGAACTTGGCAACAGTCATCGCAACACCTCAAATGCAGCTTCTGAGACCTCAAATTAACTGTTTCTACAGTGATGGGAGAAAAAACGCGTTTTAGGTAAAAACAGGAAATAAAATAATTAAAAAGGTAAAATAAGGTCATTTTAGGTAAAATAGGTAATAAAATAATAAAAAGGTAAAATAAAGCCTACTTTAAAAGTCATACAGAAGTTCCACAGACAGTGCTCACCGGGACCTACAAAAGTACGTGTTAGGAACCCACCGCCAGCGCGTCTAATTACCACGTCTTCAGAAGCTCAATACGCACCCAGGGAGAGGAAGCCAAACTGATCTCAAAGATAGATAGATAGATAGATAGATAGATAGATAGATAGATAGATAGATAGATAGATAGATAGATAGATAGATTTTTTTAAAAAAAATCCCTGATTAAGCTACTGGATTCTTTTGAAAAACTAAACCTCAAGAAATTTAAGGAGATGGGGTGGGAGGGGGTGGAGTCCAGCTACAATCCCCACAGCACAAATAACCTGGTGTGCTGGCTGGCAGGTGCAGTTCCAGTCCCTGGGCCTAGGAGGGTCAGGAACTCAAGATCACTCTTAGCTGAACAGTCAATTCAAAGCCAGTCTGGACTATACGGACCTATCTCAGAAGAGGGGAAGAAGGGAGGGCGGGACAGAAGGAGGGACAAGGGACGGAATTTAAGGAGAATAAGGGGTTGTCACCCATCCTTTCAAATCAAAAGGCTACTTAGGAAGCAGCCACCCTGAGCTGAAGGAACAGTTACAGAAAACTATTTCACAATAATGAGCCATGAGCAATCCTCGAAAGCTTGACTTAAGGATCTGCAGAGAGTACTCTAAGTGACCTAGAAGACAGCAGCAGAGAGCTGGGTTCCACACGGGAGAGCATCACCACCACCGCGGGCAAAGGATATCTAGAGAACTCAACGACTAACTGTACTAACTGGAACACCGTCAAAAACCTGAATCTACTTCAAAGAAAGACCCATACAAAGTGCTCCTACCTGCCAAAGGACACAGTGAAGAAACCAAGGAAAATGCTAGAAAGACAATTCTCATTTCAACTCCTAACTGAAGTCCCGAGCGATCCATACTGGGAACAGCATGTTAGGGCTAGCATAGCACCTCGAGAAACATGGTGAAAACACACGTAGGTGCGCACACACATGGCGCACAGACATACATGCAGGCAAATACCATGCGCATAAAATAAAATAATAATTAAAACAGAGAATGCAGGAGGCTGGCAAACATGAAATCTTGAGACATCACCTCTCTGTCACGGTCCTGACTAACAAATAGAATCCATTTACTGGGGGAAAACCCACAGATTAAGTTTGTTATTTCAGGCTAAACTGTATGTTTAAAATGTGCAGTACAAAGAAAATAGAGGCCAAATGTTAAATAAGATCAAGGGAAATACTTCCATAGTAAAGGAACCAACTTTATTATAGTCCTTTTGATATAGGCCCATTTAAGTATAATGAAGTCCTATAGTAAGAATTTATACCTTTGAACCTGAAGACAAAATAAACCTGACAGACTAAAGTACTATTTAAGACAGTAGGCAATGAGCTGACCAAACATTTTATGACAATGACAGATTTTTAAAGGCTAAAGAAGTGAAGATCTGCCGTGTGCATCAAAGGAAGGACATTCAGGATACAGCCCTGCGTTCAGAGGCTGACTGAGGCATGAACACTTCAGTTACAGTGGACGGGCCATGACTGTGATCTCTGGAGAAGCAGAAGCAGCCATGTGCAGAGCAGATACAAGATCACACATCTATGTCACACCTCCTCTTTCCATGAATCTTAAACTGTTTTCGCAGTGAAAAACCAAAAACAGTTAGTAGCCAAGGGGCAAGCAAAACTTAGGTGATGGGACTGTGTGGCAGGCTGCAGGTACAGGTTTAATAGCCTCTGTCCACTTGGTCTCTTAGATGGGGAAGAAGGACTCAAAACAAATACTTCTTAATATGCAACTTTCTAAAACGATTTTTTTTAGTTATTATTGTATTATATGTATAGGCGTTTGCCTACATATATGTCTTTGTACTATGTGAATGCCTGGTGCCCATGGAGGCCTGAAAAGAATGTTAGGGCTCCTGGAAATGGACTTATAGACAGCTGTGAGCCACCATCTCACAGCTGGTTGCCCGAATCGAAACCAGGTCCCTCTACACGAGCAGCCAGTGCTCTTAACTGTTGAACCATCTCTCTAGGCCCAAAAGACTTATTTTTAAGTGAGTGTGTGTGTGAGTGAGTGTGAAAGAGTGAGCAGCAAAAAACTCTTGACTGCTGAGCCATCTCTCCAAGCCCTCAGAAACACAATCCTCACAAGGTACAGTGTTGCACACCTACCATGTCAGGACTTAGGAGGCGGAGACAGCAGGATCAGGAGTTCAGGAGCAGCCTCCGCTACCTATCTGATCTAGTAAAAACAACAGAGAGGTCCAAATGTACTGCTGAGAGCTTTTGGGCCACAGGAAATCTTTATTTTGTGCTACAGACATTTAGTTATCTGTCCTGAGTGCGCACCCGTGTGCCACGGTCCACACGTGAAGGTCACAGGCTCGTTTTCTCCTAGGGATCAAATCAGGTCAGCGGCCTTTACCTGCTGAGCCCCTGCCTAGTCCTTAAACTTTTATGCAAGTAAGAATCACTGCTAAAAGCAGCAGTCTTTGAGACAGGGTTTCTCTGTGTAGCCCTGGGTATCCTGGAACTCAGTCTGTAGACCATGCTGGCCTGGAACTCAGGGAGCCACCTGTCTCTGCCTCCAGGGATTAAAGGCGTGCACCACCATCCCCTGGCAAAAGTGGCGGTCTGTATGCACCTGTTTTCTGCACCTTCCAGAGCATAAACTTCTAGAGTGCTACCTGAGCGCCTTATTTTAATTTTAAATTGAAGTTTCTATTTAATGATTAACTTGAAAAATCTACCTAATCTCTGAGCGTCTACACAAGGTGGGGGTGGGGACAGAAGAGGAAATGGAAAACGTAATGCATAAATTAGCTGGCTAGAAGCTGGACTGTAAGCAATTAAAGACCTGCTCCAAAGGCAACATCAACTGGAGACAGAATCACGTGTCTGCGCATTTAAGTCCTTCTGGAAGGTTACACACCCTGTTTCTGGCTACAATTTTCACACTGTGTTAGAAAGAAGAACGGATTTTGTTTCTTCTACAGATTGCCTTTGCCGTCCTATTTTAGAAGTGTGGTGATGTGGGAGTGTCATATCAATCTGTTGATTTCATTGGCTGAGCAATAAAGAAACTGTTTGGCTGGCCCTCATAGGTTAAAGCATAGATGGGAGGAGAAAACAGAATAGGATGCTGGGCGGAAGAGGAAGTGAGGTCAGACTCTGCTCTGCTCCCGGAGAGACCCGACAGCTCTGCTGGAGCAGAGACGCCATGCTCAACTCTCCCAGGATGGACAGAGGCTAGAATCTTCCCGGTAAGGCGCACCTTGGGGTACTTACACACATTATTAGAAATGGGCTAGTCCAGGTGCGAGAATTAGCCTGTAAGGGTTAGAGTTCATGGGCCAAGCAGTTCTTAAATGAATACAGTTTGTGTGTTGTTATTTCGGGCATGAGCTAGCCAAGCGGCCGGGGTGTTGGGGACGCAGCCCCGCCACTCCTATTTCAACAGTGTGGAAAGATGTTTCTCTGGTTAAGAGCACCGGCTGCTCCCCCAGCGGAGCTTGGTTCAATTCCTAGCATCCACACGGCCCCTCACAAAATCTAATTTCAGGGCATTCCAATACCCTCTTTGGGCCTTCATGGGCCCCAGGCACACACCGAGCAGGCAAAATGCCCGTACACATAAATAATAAAATTAACAAACAAAATGTGGACACGGGTTCTGATCATTAGGAGCTCTCCTCACCTCAGGTGTGGACCCAGAGTAAAGAGCTGGGTAAGTTTGGACTTCTGAAGAGGGAGCTGGGAGAATCAGGATGAGGTTAATCTCAGGTGTCAAGCCAGGTCTTGTGACCCACCGTTGGAATGGCCCCAGAATTTCAAAGCACACAGAAGTATGTATTGAAGAACCGAGTCTTCCTATGTTAGCAGCTTTTCAAGACAATTTGCTATAAAGTAATCTAGTCCTAAACCCCATGTAGTTCCGTCTCACAACATAAACTATGGCATCGTCCAGCAGGCTCTCAAATCAGAGGCAACGAAAGCTAAGCTATGAAACATTCCAAAAATAATGCAATACCAATACAGCAGAGTTAGGGAGATGTCTAAATCTCTCTTGTTTTTGCAACCTAACCTTCCTTGAATTCCTGTTCCCCAGACTTAACAAGCAATCAATAAAGGAGAGCAGGGAAAGGCAGCGAAATACCTGGCAGCCCCTCTTCTCAATTTCCACGATACATTTCTGTATCAGCAGCGGCACCATCGACCCCGCGTTTTCTTTCTCCACAACCTTCTGAATGTCAACACCAAACATGACGGACTCCCGGCTTTTATCCAGGCCGTGGAGAGAATTCTCCCACAGTTCCATGAGGGTCACCTTGACATAAATAAGGCCTCTGGGTTCAAGTTTGACGGCCAGCTGGTGTGTCTTTGTCACTCTGAAGAGAGTGGGCAGGACAATTGTGCCATGGCAGCACACTCGGTTTCTCCTCGGAGTGGGCTCCCAGCTGAACACCACCAGCTTCAAATGCTGTGCGTTTTCGATCTCTATGTTGAAAGTGTGGTCCATGTCTAAGAACGTCGTCCGGCAGGTGAGCAAAGCCGTTCTGGCTTTGTTCACCGAGTCTACCTGAATGGCACAGAAGACGTCTTTGGAATCCATCCGGGGTGGCTTGAGCCCCTCTGCTCCATAGAAGTGCACGCTCATGAGGCCCGATATGTACTGTGAGCACTTGGGCTGGTCGGCAAAGCTGTAGTGTCTGAAGGCATCTATGTCTATGTCGTTTTTGCTACAACCGCTCGGAATGGCTTCTCTTCCTTTCCCGAGTTTGTGCTCGGATCTGTGCTTGCTCGATTTAGTTCTAAGTTCGGGTGAATCTCCGTCGCTAAGGTAACCACCCTTGCAGGAATACTTCGAGCTCCCGGTACTTTTCTTCTGGTAGCTGTGCTGAGACGAAACAGTGGTATCAAGATGGTACCGGCTTATGACGTTCCTGGTCGGGTTCCCAGAGGGGAGAAGGGCACCACGAGGCAGCTGGTGACAGCTGCACTTGGAAGGGGTACTCTCTGGACTGCCTATATCGTGCGAGGGTCCCCTGGCACCCAGCTTCCGGCTGAATTCTGGCAACCTTTTCATCTTCATGGACAGCTTCCTCACAGTGCGTGGAGATTTTATTTTATCTGGCAAAGACCAAGTAATGGAACTGCCTTTCTTCGCAGGGCTGGGGCTCGGAGAAGACGGCTCCATAGCTCTCAATTCAGTCCTATTTGCAGAAACCAAGACCCCAGGACCTTAAAAGCGAGAAAGAAAGTTACTACAAAGAGAAGGGCACCAACTTCTTATTTCTGCTTTAGAAGCCAGCTGGTGCTCCTGATGCAGGGTCCTTTTCACTCCTCCCTCTGCAGTGCTCCCCAGCGAGTGCAGATCACTACGTGGTGGCTTAAGTTTTGGAGCAACTGGAAATGCCTCTAGCTCAGAACATTCAACTAGAAGGACAGCTCTAACGTCACAACGCTGCTGTATTTATACCCTCTAAAGCCAAGGGGTGCACAGAGCAGTGTCCATTAAAAAAAAAAAAAAAAGAAGTTAAGCCAGGGGATGGCGGCGCAGGCCTTTAATCCCAGCACTTGGGAGGCAGAGGCAGGCGGACCTCTGTGAGTTCAAGGCCAGCCTGGTCTACAAGAGGGTAGGTACCAAAGCTACACAGAGAAACCTGTCTCGAGAAAAAAAAAAAAAAACAAACAAAACAAAAGTTAAAAACCAAACAAGTCTGTAATTGGGCAGCAAAAAAGGCCGTCTTTGTTCTGAAGTCTATTAAGCTGTTCTATATCCGACTGAACTTTCTGGTGAACTGGTTCTGGCACAACACTGACAGAAGGTGCAAAACAATCAATTTTTCTAGTTAGAAAGGACAGATTAATCGATTTCATTCTTTTAGTCTGTACATGTTCCTACTAAGTTTTCAAATTAATCAAACAAAATAAAAATATGCTCTGAAGCCAGGTGGTGGTGCGCACCTTTAATCCCAGTACCTGGGAGGCAGAGAGGCAGGAAGATCTCTGGTGAGCTCAAGGCCATTCTCAACTACGGAGTGAGTTCCAGGACAGCCAGGACTGTTATTTCGAGAAACCGAAATAGAAAAAGAAAATGTTCTGAAAACAGAAACAACGCAGAGTTGCACACGCCTTTGATCCCAGCACTCAGAAGTACAGACAGGTAGGTCTCTGAGTTTGAGCCCAGCCTGGTGTACAAAGCAAGTTCAAGGATAGCCAGGCCTATACAGAGAAACCCTGTCTTGAAAAACGTCCCCCACAGTTCAACATCATCCCAGTTATTTCATATTCGATTTTCAGGTTCTTGTAAACGCCTTTAGATAAAGATCCAATAACCTTAATGCCAGAATCTAATCTTGGCAAAACTATTTCAGGATTAAAGTGAGCATGTTTATGTGCTTAGAGTCAGCAAATTAAATCGTCACCACAAAAGTCGCCCTCCACCCATCCCTGTATCCTAATGACAAGCATTGTTCCATGCAGAGAGAGACTACTTTAAGTATGCATACTGAGCTTTTCTGGTGAACAGTTAGTAAGAAATGGAGGGCTTGCCTACCGGACAAAGCATCCCTTGTACTGCCAACCACAAAACAGTCCTACTGGCTCACTGGTCTAGAACATTCTATAGTAATCAGGGTCCTGTTTTATCTAACATTAACCTATTTTGTTATAGAAAGGCTACTCAGTGTATTAAACTGCTCTGGTTTTTCCTAAATTATTAAGGAATTTAATAATCTGATTCTTTTTCTAAACTGTTAATAAACAGTTCCTACCGGAGTCATTCAGAGAGTCTACCGCAGACAAGAGGGAATTTATTAAAACAAAAATGTAGGGCTATAGAGAAGGCTGAGCGCGGAAAGTGCCTGCTGCCCGAAACATGAAAACAGAGTCAAATCCTTGGAGCTCATGTGAGTCAGTAATAGGTGTTGCTACAGAGAGCAGGAGGTGGAGAGGTGCAGCCTAGCCTGGCCACGTAGTGGTTAACAATGAGAAGAACCTCCTGCCTCACACAAGGAAGAAGGGTGAGGACAGACACTCAAGGCTGTCTCTAACCTCCACGAGTTCTGTAGCGTGGGTGTGCCCTGACTTACACACATGAACAAGCACACACATGCACACACCACACAGGAACAAACACACACATGCACATTCACACACACACAACACACACAATTGCTTTGATTTTTAATATTTAAGAGTTGAACTACTACAAAATTCTATTGTCAGTGAAACTAGAATTATATCAACTAAATCACAAAACAGCTATGAGAAGTATAAAATGAAAGATGCTTAAATATAGAAATTTATGCACCAAGCCAGAGGGGCTGGACCCTCCAGGAGCAGGAACTATAGGTGGGACCCAAACTCAGGTCCTCTGCAAGAGCAGCAAGCACTCTTCACGCAGGTCCGAAACGTCTTCACTTTATACACACATACAGCCGACATCATCTGGGCTTAGTGCTAGGAACTGTCAAGGAGTAGGAAATAGAAGTATCAGGTGTACAGTGACGTTTACCTGTAAAGGCAGATTTCAGCACGGGGCTGTCCTCTGCCGTGATGCCTTCCTGTGTCCTGGGTCCTAACCTTTGCCTGCGCTGCTGCGTAACCTCTGTGGACTGGATGGAGTCTACAGGGCTCGGCACGTCACCTGTGTTCTGGGCAGAACACAGCCGCTCTTCACCATGCAGCTCAGCCTTCCTCAGGTCTCTCGCAGACACCGTGTTCGCACGGAGAGCAGGGAGCTGCACTGTGGTAGTGTTCGCCTCCTCGAGACTCAAGACACCTGCTGCGCCAAGCTCGTCTTCCTCGGGGATGGGATTGTACCATATCTCCCCTTCATCATCAGCATGGTTGTCCTCACTGAAGTCTAAAGAGCAGTTTCCTGAGAATGCAGAGCTGGCGGCATCACACGTCGCATGTGTGTAGCGTTCCCTTGGGGACCTGCAGAAAGGCTGCGACGGCGCATATCTGGGTGACGACACCGGGGAGGGCGGGAAATTGCTTCTCTCTTGGCATCGCTTACTCTCTTCCAGACTCTGAGACCTCAGGGTGCTCTGATACAGCCAATTGCGTTTCTTTGAGACAGTGATGTTGTTAAGGGGCTGATGACCTCTAAGCTCAGCATTATCCTGTACATCTTCAGGTTCCCTTTTCTTCGATGGAGACCCATAGACATTTTCAAATAAGTCTGCTTCAAAGGAGAAACGAGAGAGCATAATAATGTCAGGTCCAGCAGGAAAGACATGTCACTTCAGATCAGCTATTAAAACGTTTAAAAATAAAAATGATATTAATTATATTCACAGATCAAAATCAAATCACAAAAACTTTTTTCCATTGAAATATAGTTCTAATTTAGAAATCCAAGTGAGTATATAAGTGTTATGAAATTCTAAGGGATAAACAAGTGAACAGTGCCTTTATTGTAAAATACAACAGTGCTCAAGTCTTATGCTAAGCAAACTATCTGATCTATAGAAAGTTACTAAAGAGTTAAAGTATGCTTTTAATTGATATCTGAGTAACAGTCAAAGGACCAAAAGTCATGAGAAAGCACAAGTAACATTCCTTTACTTTCACGAAGACTAATTTTTAATAAAAGCCTTTAAATTCACATAAGGAACATAAATATTGAGCAAAACAGTGATCTAATAGCAGCGATAACAATGCATTAAGCTATAAGACGCTTTATAATAAACAAAGAATTAGGTCCATGTATAATCAAGGCTTTCAGTAACCTTCCATTTACTGAAAAAAAATTTTTTTAAATGTAAATTTACCATTCTCTTTTAAATCTAAACATGTACCCAAATGCAATTAGACCAAATCCTTCATCGCAAACCGAGGTTCCAGGCCAGATATTTCTAGATACATAATCTAGACTAGCTATTTTGTTTGCTTGTTTTTCGAAACGGGGGTTTCTCTGTGTAGCCCTGGCTGTCCTGGAACTTGCTCTAAAGACCAGGCTGGCCTGGAACTCAGAGATCCATTGCCTCTGCCTTCTGTGTGCTCACTTGTCTAGACTAGCTCTTCAGAGCTCCTACAACGGAAGACACTGGTCTACTCAATGAGTGACCACTGTGTGCTGAGCAAGAGACACAGCAGCAGCAAAGGGCTGAATCCCTGGCCCTCTACAACAGTGGTTTCTCAACCCTCCTAACGCTGGGACCCTTTAGTACAGTTTTTCATGCTGTGTCGACCCAAACCATACAATTATTTTGCTAGTGTTATGAATTATAATGTAAATATCCGTGTTTTCCGATGGTCCTATGACCCCTGTTGAGAACCAGTGCTCTACAGCAATCCTGCGAGAATAAGCGGTGTTCAAAACTAGGTCTGTCTCTAAAACTGGCAACCTTGCGCCTTCCCAGACCACACAGCCCACTAGCAGTAGGAAGTGACTGTCTCTGAACGTAAGACGGTCTGCATTTTACCGTGTGGAGCACTGCTGATAAAAGATAGGTGCCATGTAAAAACCCTACTCACCAGACCCAAGTTCCTCCCTGGGACCAGCTAGTTGGCAAACAGAAGCAGCAGCTTCCCCACCCCGACCCCTCCCTTGCGGAAGGACCATCTCCACCCTCCGGGTCTGAAGATGCAAACATGACACATACTCGGTAAGATCTTGAGATGATTTCCTTTCAATATTTTTAATCAAGGAAAACTTGATTCTAGTGTCCCTCTTTTTGGACCAGAGAGATGGTTCGGTTAGGAGTACTTACCGCTCTCACGTTAGACACAAGTTGCGTGCCTAGCACCCATATCAAGAAGCCTGCACCCCTGGAACTCCAGCTCCGGGGGATGACTCCTCTTTTGGCCTCCTCCACAGGCAACCGTATGCACACGGACATAGACACATAATTGAAAAATAAGCCAGGCCTAGTGGTGCACACCTTTCATCCTAACACTTGGGAGGCAGAAGCAGGCAGATCTCTGAATTCAAGGCCAGCCTGGGCTACAGAGGGAGTTCCAGGGCAGCCGGGATTACACAGATAAACTAAAATAAAAATAAAATACGTATTTTAAAAAAATTGTTTCTTCGGTTCTCTCTCCTCCGTGCCCAAAGATAACAAGAACAAGGATCTCGGAAGTCACCAGGGCTCTGGGTTCTCAGGGATCACAGGCTCTTTCCCAGGGCTCTGAAATCTAGAATGACCTTGCCTTTCAGGCCACATCTCTCTCATTGTGTAACAGCATATCAGACCTGTACGAGACACTGTTTACACACAGTTCAGACACAACGGCAAAGCCAAAGCTAGAAATCACATCTTGTTGATCTTCTCAGAGCTCCTTAGCAATACCCAAAAATTTATGTAGCTGGACACATTATTTTGTGTCCTGCCATTGTTTTTCACAAACTATCCATCCCACACCATTCCTGATGGGCATCCACATGCACTACATTCCAAGGAACCGGAATGAGAAAAATAAATCTACTAGCACCTTTTATGTAAGCAAGTTGATGTGTTTAAGCAAAGCGTAATACTACTAAAAGGAACAAGTGCACTGTGAGACACTCACTATTTTTGTTACTGTGCATGTGGTGTATAGTGTGTGGACATGTGTGTGCATCCATGTAGAAGCCAGAGGCTGGATCCCCTGGAATTGGAGTTACAGAAGGTTGTGAGCCACTGTGTGAGTACTGGGAACAAACCTGGGTCCTCTGCACCACTGCGCCTTCTCTCCATCCTCCCATCATGTTTTATTGAGACAGGGTTTCTCACTGAACTCGGAAGGCTGCGTGTAATCCTCTCTCCCCCCTTCTTAAGTTAAAAACTAATGCCTAATTCAATTGCACGGATTTTAGAGTTAAATCTTGCTTCAGATTACAGATACACAAGAAGATGGAAGTAAAAACAAGTATGCAAAGTTGCAGGGCAAAATAAAAAAAAAAGCACTCTCTTACAACGATACATTAGTTGCTATAGTTTCCAGGTTCTAACTAAAATGATTTTATTTTGAAAATCTGTAAGAGAATGCAACAGTGGCAACTTTGGGGGAGTTTTTCACTGAGAAAAGTAGGCTTCATAGTGGTAAACTACTTGAGCCCATTTTATTCTCTCAACAATGATTTCATAGTAAAGACAGACGGTGCAGTATACTGAACATTTAACTGGTACGTCTCTCGCAGCATCAGCTGACTAAGCAGCAGTGCATTTCGTCGTTAACTGGAAATGTCCAGCACCCACGGCATCTTTCCATTGCTCCAGCACCCAGAAGCGGTGTCCTTCCTTCTCTTTAAAACCCTCAAATAAAACCAATTCCATAAGCATCAGACATTGATGCCTATGCTTAGGTTTTGTTGGCTTAAGAAGATGAACCTGTGTGTGCACTTCCCAGAGAAATCTGAAGGGAGGTGGGTGGAGAAAAGGCGCATTTCCTTTTCTTTTTTTATGACTAGCAATAAAAACCCTGAAGCAAACTATACGCTCACATTTGACACATCAGAGACTGAAAGAGTAGAAAGGAAAAGTGTGAGATGGTTTTCTTTTGTTTGTTTGCTTTTTGCTTTTCCAAGACACGGTTTCTCTGTGTAGCCCTGGCTGTGCTGGAAGTCACACTGTAGACCAGACTGGCATAGAACTCAGATCTGCCTACTGGGATCTCAGGAGGTGTTCGAGAGGGCAGCACAGAAGAGAATGGGAGCAGGATAAGTAAGTACTGCTAGGGGTGCTCTCTAGCTCAACCTCAAAGCTCCCCCAGGCCTAACTCCTCAATCTTCTCACATGCTGACTGGGTAAGGCAGTATCCTCACGATGCCTGCCAAGTGCCTACACTGTACCGCATAATTTTAGTATTCTCACAGTGGCCCAAGAAAAGAAGCCACAAGAAGACACAAGTATCTTGTCTAAGGTCAAAGAAGCAGGGAAGGTCTGTCCAGAAGTCCAGAACCTATAGACTTATATAAGACTATATAGTTCTTCCACGTTCACCTTGCTGGCAGATTCCAAAACTCCAACACTGATTGGTGAGAGATGGGATCAATTAAGATAACTGCTCAAATGCATCATGTATTATAAGTAAGTACTAACTATTAATCCATACAAGATTGAAGCAGAGAACTCTGCTTTGCTCTAACTGGGGTCAGCATAAGCATCAGGTATTAAATAAGGAAGTCATTCCAAAGCTGAGGCACGTGGGAACTCCAGGCCCTTACTAAAGAACGGCCTTCCAAACGGCTCCATCTGTCCACCAAAAGCCTATTAAAATGCAGAAGCTCAGGACCCTGCCCAACTCTAAGGTTTTCCAGGAGTCCATAGGCACATTGTTTGAAAGCATCCTTCTCAAACAGCGAACACAAACCTTCTGCAGCAAGGGCCTAGGAAACAGCCTAAGATATTCTCAGAAGATACACAAACATCTCTTTGATTGCAAACCATTGATTTAGAAGCACAGGACTTTCAAACCAGCAGGACACTATTTTCTGCTGATTTTGTAATTCTCAAAGTTTTCCAGTCACCAGCAACTCCAATGTTCCATGGCGCTCTTCCAAAACAACAAACAAAAAAAGCTGCACTTGCTTCCAAAGGCCAGAACGGCACGCTGTCCCACACAGGATTTCAAGCGAGAAGACAGTCAGAAACCGTCCACTTGCTGCTACTAATGTTGAGGATGCTGGGGGGGGGGGAGGGATCAATGCAAGAACAACAAAGAAACCAGAGTTTCAAATACTTCAGAAAAGTAGTAGATGGGAATCTGTATCATGGTATCAACTTTACGGTGGTTAAAGATCATACCAGCTAGGGTTTGGGGGTCTTAAGAGAAATGGCTGAGCTAATAAGAGCACTGGCTGCTCTTCCAGAGGACTCGGGTTCTATTCCCAGCCCCCCACAACAGCGAACAACCGTCTGTAACTGGGTGGGCACCTGGCACACTAGTGGTGAGCAAACAAAACAGTCATGCACATTAAGATGAAAATAAATCAATCTTAAAAGGGAAAGAGGAGAAAGGGGAGGGGCAGAGTCGGTCACGGTGGCACAGGTCTTTATCCCAGCACTCAGGAGGCAGGCAGAGCTGTGTAAATTACTGAATTCCAGAGCTATTGTAGAGACTCTATCTCCAAAAAGCAAACAAAAAAGATCATACAAACAGGGAACTGGGGCTGTGACTCAGTGGGTACAGTGCTTGCCCAGTGTGCACAATGCCCTGGATGCCATCCTATGGGGTACGGTCATGCACAGACCTGGAGTTCAAGGCCAGCACTGGCTACAAAAGCAGCAAAGAAGATCACGCCATCTAATTAACACGACCTTAAAATTTCTAGGTTAAATTATTAAGCAAGTCTTTCACAGAAGCAAAAGTGGAGTCAAGGAGGCTCAATTAAAGAATAGCCACACTAACTCAACCGATGCTCCAAACATATTTCTAAAAATTACACGCTAATTAAAATTAAGACTTATAATGAAGTGCAGTTGGCAAATAAACTATGATTCCTTCATAATTTTAAGGCTTGCAGAAACTTGACAATATTTACTGTGTGTAATGACTTTAGATTTCTTAAATAATCATCTCAATTAGGAACAAATTGGCCAATCTGTGAACACTGCACACATAAACGCATCCGACTGCTGGCATCATGATACAGGAAACATTTAATGGTTCTTGGAGCCAGATAGCAAAACAGAAAGCCACTTGTTTCCGTGTCATAACAGCCTGTAAGAGTCTCCAAACATTTTGGTACTCAGAGTAGGCAGCTCCAGGTCATTACACAGCTATTAGATTCTGAACTGTAATCTTATTTTGAAAAAAAAAATATGCCCTTATAAATACTTAGAAAGTGTGATATAAACCCTTTAAAATACTTACCTTCCTTTGTACAGCTAAGAATAGACTGCTTCAACGCTCGACTCTGCAATTTCTCAGAAGAAAACAGTTTTGAAAATTTTATTTTATTCTCTTTTGTGTGTTGGTGGAAGAGTGGATCTGTAATCACATCCAAGTCTTGACCCTTCTACGCAGCTACTCTATCACTGAGCTACATAAACAACCCAACAAATTGACTCAAAAGTGTACTCCAAGAAACACCAACTTTAAACGGTATATAACAAGGCTGTAGAGATGGCTCAGCAGTAAAGAGCACTTGTTCTTGCAGAAGACCTGGGCTCCATTCCCAGCACCCACATGGAGGCTCACAGTCGTGGATCATTCCACTCCCTCCAAGGCACCAGGCAGACACGTAGTGCCCACAAATACGTGCAAGCATGCAAACACATAAAATACATCTTAAAAAATACTTTTGTTAAAAAAAAGAACTAAATTAAATTATCATTAAATTCTTTTAAAAGTTTTAGAGACTATTCTAGAATCCCCCCATCTTCTTCTATGCATGCACGCTACATCGTGTTTTATAAAAACTCCATCCATCTCCTCAGGCCAAGCCATTTAATAAAATTAGTTGGATCAGGCCTCTAGAAGATTTTGAGTCCCTTGGACCTTATATGGAGAAGTTTTTGAGTCCTGAGAACAGAGTAGGAATCCAGACAACAGTGTGAATCTGTACACAGCAGCTAAGTGAGTCTGCACCCCAGCCAGATGCCTTCAGCAGACTCCTTACCTCTAGGTCCTTTGTGTTGCAAGACAATGGCCTTATCTTGGGTGGGGAGAAGAGAAGGGAGAGGAGCTGGTGGAAGAATCCAGGTCGGTGCAGACCAGCAAACCACCAAGAAAACTATCCGCATCGCAGATGCCAAAAAACCTATTTTATTTTTACTTCCTAAAGAATAGATGTGTGATATGAACAGAAGTAAGGAAGCCAGAGTTTAGGTCGGAGATTTTGGCAGCTTTAGGTTAGATTTCTTATAAAATACTGCTATAGTAATTGCAATATTTAGCTTTAATTTTAATTGCAGAGTTTGGTTTTAATATTTGTATTTAATGTCATAATAGAAGAGCAACAAATTCATCCTTCAAGGAAATATACTTTTAATTCCCTAGTATTTACACAATGACTAAAGTAATTCGATGGTGACTGTGTTTTACAAGGAGTTCTGTTATCAGTGAAAGTTATCAGAGTTGAATTGAACCAAGCTGAAGGAGCTTGAAGGTCATCAGACTTTGACACCAGTACTTTGGGGCTGGGAAAATCGGGGGAGGGGGTTTGTTGTTGATTTGGGTTTCCTATGCTTTGGGCTTTTGTTTTTTATGTGAGCTTGGTGCTCTTCTCTTTTTAAGTGCACTTCTCTTGACAAAGACAAAACTATTCCTTTACTTGGGTGAAACAGAATCAACTGTTGAATATATGTTATCTGAATATATATTATCTATATATCATACAAAATCATTGTTTAAGTAGAACTTTTGTGATCTTTGCTTCTCATCACATTTGTGTTTTATTGATTAACGATGGTGTGTAATAACCCAATTCTGTGGGATCTGTAATCTTTCCTCTTTAATTCTGGTTTTTTTTTTTTTTTTGGTTTTTCGAGACAGGGTTTCTCTGTGATTTTGAAGCCTGTCCTGGAACTAGCTCTTGTAGACCAGGCTGGTCTCGAACTCACAGAGATCCGCCTGCCTCTGCCTCCCGAGTGCTAGGATTAAAGGCGTGCGCCACCACCGCCCGGCTTTAATTCTTTTTTTAAAGACATGGTCTCACAGTGTAGGCCAAGCTGGCCTGGAACTTAGAGACCCACCTGCCTATTCCTCCAGAGTGCTGGGACTAGTGGTGTGCAGCACCAAACCTAGGCTGGATGTACACTTCCCGTGAAAGCCTCAAATACTTTCAGTACTCAGTATTTTTTAAACGCTTCACTGACAGACCCTGTACGTAACAGGGTGTCAAGATACCACGTGGTTTTGATCTGTTTCTTTCCCCAGAGAATTTTGTTATTGACAACAAAACTCAGAGATTTCTACAACTGATAACCTAGACCTTCATAGCTTATGAAAAACAGGCGCATACCAAACCAAGGAGTGTGAGCACTATATAAGGACAAACAGACTTTTAAAAATATTTTTCTACTATAAATAATGTTTCCCAAGTTTTCAAGTGACCTTGGGTACTTGGGCGTGGATCTGGGTGACATTTATTTTCATTACAACCATGCCAGTATCCTAGGGTTTTTTTTTTTTTTCATCCTACAAGTGGATAGAATCTTTGATTTGGGTTTAGTTTGGTTTGTATGTGGTGTGTGTGTGTGTGTGTGTGTGTGTGTGTGTGTGTGTGTGGCCAGCATGCTCACATGCAATTCTGAGTTCAAGTATGTGTGAGGGCCTGGAGGAGAAAAAGAGCCTAGTAAGTAAAATGACAGTTTATGAAGCCTGTAAAATTCTACCTTGGATGGAATTCAAGTTCACAAACTTCCCAAGTCTTAGGGTTTGCCGAGAGCTACAGAAGAAAATCAAGGCAGTGCCGGTCATCTCAAAACCTACAGAAAAAGCAGGTAAAGAACTTAGCTTCTGCTCACTGTTGTTCTAAGGGAGGAGACACGCTGACTCTTGGAGAAGAGGAGGAAAAAATCCGAAAAGGGAAAGGAAAAAGCAGGAAGGGAGCGAAGAGGAGGAAGAGGGAGGGCGAAAAGAACACAGCGCTAATGCATGACATTGGCAGAGTCACGCGACCTACTGCAAAAACACTGGCCGGGACAGAAGCCCACATCAAAAACAGGAGAGCCAGGGTTCTCAGCCTGTGGGTCGAGACCCCCACCGGGCGGCCTATCTAACATATACATTATGATTCGCACCAGCAGCAAAATTAGTTGCAAAGTAGCAACGAAATGATTTTGTGGTCGGAGGTCACAGGGCATGAGGAACTGTATTAGGAAGGTTGAGAATCACCGCCCGAAAGGCTCACGGTTTGCTGAACACACTGACCGCAGTGTCCTACCTGTCAGTGCGATTCTTTGGTCCGCGGTCACCGAGAGGACGTGGTTTTCGTGCACTTTCCAACTGCCCAAATTTGGAGAAGTTGCCTGCGCTCCGGGAACTTTGGATGCTGTCCCACGAGCGCGACCCTTCATCCCCAGGGACAGCAGGCGTCCTTTGTACATCCACCTCTGCAGCTTCTTGACCGTCACCGCAGGTGGCTTGAGGAGCGGAGGCCCCTCGGGACGGTCCTCTTGGCTGCTGGGTATCACAGAGGTCCCCGCAAGATCCCTATAGGGACGTCCCGAGGACCGGCCCGGGTCCTGGCAGATGGAAGGCAGGAACGCGGCGGATGCAGCAGCCCGGTGGCTGCCCCGGCTCCAGCCGTCCATCCCACCTACACGTGGCGGGGGCTCGTCCCTGTCCCGGTGCGCGACGCACGAGATCCAGCTGTCGCTCGCCCACCGCTGGAGCAGTGGCGGCTGGGGGTTCCCGCGGAGGCTCTCGAGACTTCTGCAACTGGACAGCCTCATCCGAGGACTCGGCGGCCGTCCTACCCCGGACTCCTTAGGAGGCGACCGGGGCGGGGACACCTGCTGCGGCTGCGAAGGGCGGTCGCCGCCTCGGGGGCTGCAGGCTGGGCGCACGGCTGCGCCGTGGGGGAGAGGTGGCTGCTGGCCCCGAGCCCGGGCTCCCGCGGGTCCGCCCCGCCGCGTGCCCGAGTCAGGGGGCAGGTCGTGCATGGCCTGGATCAGCAGATAATAGGCCTCTCGCAACTGGGTCTGCAGCCTGCCCGTCTCCCGGCGGCCGCCCTCCACCCCCGGGGAGGAGCCCGCCGCTGGGAAAGGCGAGGCCCGCAGCGCCTCCGCCCCCTCGGGCGCACAGCCCGCGGGCAGGTTCTCGTAGTAGTCGGCGCCCTCGTCCTCCCCGTCGTCGTTGTCGTCGTCAGCGTCACCGCTGCCTTCGGGGCCCGGGATGGCGCGAGCGAGCGCGCGGCCCAGAGCGGCGGCCTCTCGAGCCCCGCGAGGCCATGCGACCCGCGCGCCTGGTTGCTCGGAGCGCATCCCGTTCCCCCACGCGGGCTGCTCCATGCCCGGGCTCACGAGCCCGCGGGGCGCCGAGCGTGCCTCGGAGAGCGAAGCCGCCACGGTATCCGCACGCAGCTCGAGCGCCCCCGGAGCGCGGGGCTCCCGGTGCCGGCCGAGCGTCCTCCGCCAGGGCTCCGCCATGCGCACAGCCTCAGCAGCCCGGCTCGCCCTGGGCGCGGGGCTGGCTCCGAGTCCCGCGCGGGCGGAGGCGGCGGCTCTCCATGACCGCGGCCGGTCCTCGCCAGCTCCTCACATACTTGGCATAACTCTGCCGCGGCGGGCCGTGGGAGGGGGGCGGGGAGGGAGGGCGCGGGCGGGCGGGCGCGGCAGCGCGCATGCCCCGGAACTGGAGCCGCGACGGGGCGCGCGGGCAGCAGCGCTGCCTTCCAGAGGTGGGCGCTCCGGGGGCGGGGCCAGCGGGGCTGCAGGGAGGGAAAGGTGGAGCGGGTCCCGCTGCCAGCTCGCCACCTTCCCCGGCCCCTCCCCGCTGCCCCCCGTGTGAGGCGTGGCTCCGGTACAGCAAGTCCTAGCTTGAGGGTAACAAAGACTGTTTGGACGGATCGAGTGCAATGCAGGTGTATCTCTCTGGAGCGAAGTTCCAGTCAGTTCCCTCCCCGCCTGGAGCTGGGGCAAAGGAATCTGCGGACCTGGAGAAGTCAAGAGTGCTGCTGGCTGGTCTTGTAGAGGACACAGGTTCGATTCCCATGCCTGACGGCTCACAGCGGTCAGTAACTCCAGTTCCAGGGGTTGATGCCCTCTTCTGGCCCCCGCGGGCACCAAGTAAAGTAGACAGAGGTCGACTCAGGCAAAACAACCATGTACATAAAAATAAATAATAAAAAATGGAATTTTCAGTAATTCCTTTTTGCTAAGGATTTTTTTAACCCTTTATGTCCTAAATCACCTCGATTTCCTCTGCTTTAAATCTGTTTTTCCTTCTGCAAAAATGATGTGTGCTCATCCAACGTTAATCCCTACATCAAACAAAACATGTCACGCCTGCACTTAGTAGGTACTCAAGTCCTCAAAAAGCAATAACTGAGTAAATAGTGCTTGCATTACAGAATCAAATAGCTCGGTCCTTACTCCAATATGGTCCTCCATGTAAGCTGTGTTTTCTGCACCAAAGGTTCCGTTCTCTAATTTCCATCGCTTAGATGTGTAGTCTACTTGTTAGCACCCGTCTCTCTGTCTCCTGGAATAATGTCCCGTACATCTGTATCTGGAAAACCTACCCGTCCTAGGCTTGGTATGGTGGTATACAGCTGGTCATCTGAGCCCTGGGGAAGGAAGCAGCATAGGGTGGAGGCAGAGGAGGACAGCCTGAACTATTTAGTGAGACCCTCTCTCACAATAGCTAAACTAGAGAAAGGATGGAATTGTTCAGCAGACAAAGGCGCAGGTCTTCAAGCCTGATGGCTTAAGTTTGAGTTACAACCTCGTGGGACCCATGTCTTGGAAGGTGGGGACCCTCTGTCTTCTAACTTCCACGCGAGGCTGTGGCACACTCGCTCAAAAAGAGAAGAATGTGAAGGGGAGGAGGAGGGCCCTACCCATCCTTATCTTCAGTTGCCTTCCTCACCAGGAAGTCAACTCCAAGCAGGACAGAATCACAAGTTCTACCAAAGTCCAATAATCCAGTACACACACATACACACCATGCACAAACAAGCCATGCACACACAAATCGTGGTCATATTTGTTGACACAGATTGTTGTAGCTACTTAGTTTTTACATAATTTGTATGCATGTTTTGTGGCCCTTAAGAAAAAAAAATCAAAATTCATTCACTTCCTAAGGACAGAAACTGTTACCCCCTGTTGTGTTGTGGTGCATTCAGCATCTTAAACACTGCATGACGAAACTTTTTCAATGACAGCAGTGTTATAAAAAAAAAAAAAAAAAAAAAACAGTGGCCTCGGTTTCCAGTCTGTTGCTCGGCCCTCCACTAGACCATAGCCTATTGGTGTTGTTTTAAAATTCTTTCAGCAACAAATAGAAAAGACGGTTTTCAAAATTAACCTTAATTCTTAATGGGAAATGTTACACCATGACGTTCATACCTCCATACTGGCAATGCTGGTATATTTTTATTGCAGGAACCCAAGGCTATATTTCATGAATAGTCAAGGCATAAAAATACTCCCCAGAGAATATTCCCACAGGAAATGACTGATAGCAAAGCTGCCAATAGTGGGTTCTATAAACACAATTTGATCTCTATCTCAGAAATTGTTTCCCTTCCAAGTGGGTTGCACAATCTTTTTATTCTTTGTAGCTAACAGAGTTTAAAAATGCTGTAGGCTGCATGCAGACACACACACACATCTATATATTGAACTCTGCCCTTAATTCAACTTACTAACTTGTTCAGAAGTCATGAGATCCTCTGGTCAGTGTAGTATGCCATGCCGTGCATTGCTTTAGGCGTGACTCAGAATATAGCACACCACAATGAAATCCAATACTACTTTAAACTGAGGGTGTGAACTGGGCTAGGGCTAGGGCTCAGCTGGCAGAATGCATGCTGAGCAGACACAAAAACCTGAATTCTATCCCAAACACCAAATAAACCGCATTTGGGACCCACACCTGTAATCTCAGCATGTGGGAGGCAGGGCCAGGAGGGTGAGAAGTTCAGGTCAGCCTGAGAATGTTCTGTAAAGTGAAGTCACAATTTTAACTCTAGTTTGGGTTACAGAAATTAATAATTCAGCTGTGACTATGTGATACTACTTAATGGTCTTAAATACATAAATCCTATTTTTTTCTATAAGTGTATTAGACTGCAATAAAAGTTTGGAAACAGGTCATGCCAAAGCAACACACCCACAGAACTGGCGTACTCTACAGTATGATCCACCAAAGCAAGGTATTGGTCTTCGATTGTTGGGTTATCTCCGTACCATTTCTGTCCTATCTTGCAGATTCCCATGTAAATTAGGGGCTGACCAGGCCATCTTGCAGTGTTTATACTTGTTTCTCAGAGGCTTGGCAAACTCTTTGGTGCTTCATGAATTGACAACTACGGCATTGGCACTGTCACCAAAGATTTAGCCTTGGGAAGGCAGGAAGCCAAGCAGGCTGGATCGGCGCTGGCTCAATGGAGGGGAAGGGAGCAAACAGGCAGGCTGAGGCACGGGGTTTCTTTAGCAGTCATGTGTGTTACAGTTATTTTTCTAGACAATCCAGTGTGTTCGTGTCTCACTGGTTCTCAGTCTTCTGTCATACCCTTAAAGGAACCAAAGGCAAGTTGAGTCCTGGAATTTCTGCAGGTCTCTCTTCCTGAACCACCTCACCGGAAGCCTGGAGTGCAGACCTTTCTGGTCTACCATGTAGCTCTCCACTGGTACTGAGTAAAAAGTATCTTGAGCCTACAGCAGACCACATTGGCTCCTGACCCGGATAGCATGTTCTCCACACAGAGGTTCTTGATTAACATCTGGCAGTTTGCAAGAATGCTTTTGTTTCCCACCTTCCTGTAAAGTGGCGAAAGGAAAACTTTTGCTAAATCTGCATGTGCTTTCTAACATTTAGAAACATTTCATGTTTTAGAAGATTCATTGACGTTTTATATTGCCTAATCCTATATGATCTAGATGTATTACTTGCCCAAGTCCACCACCATGAGACAGGAAAACAAACCTGGCATCTGACTGCAAAGCTACTACACCCCTGTGGCATTTCCTAAACCAGAAATCGAGGCTAGCCTTTCATCCCGAGACAGTGTTGGCTCTCACTTGAGTGTTCCTGGCTCTAAATTAACTGATACCCTTTCGGAATATAGCTTAATGTTTATGATTATAAAACTGAACATTTCAACTTTTCTTAAAGCATTCATCAGCGGTGCTAGAACTACAGACCATATTCCCATTTATCTGTGAATTTTTTTTAAAAAAAGGCAAGAATAGTCTCTTCCAGGAAAAAAAAATGGAGTATGATTTTCAAAGTAAGAGAATGAAATTTACTATTGTTGTAGTCACTGTTGTGATTGTTTTTGTGATCAAATAACCAATAAGAAGAAACCTGAAGGAGAAAGGATTTTGTTGGCTCACAGTTTGGGGGTACCAGTCCATAATGGAGGGTAAGGCATAAGTCAGGAGCCTGCTACTTGACCATATTTCAATCAGAGCAGAGAGAGAGATGAAGCTGGTGCTCGGCTCACCTCTTCCTTTTTCCTGTATGATTCCATCCAATCCCAGAGCACACGGATGCTGCCACCAAATTCAGGTTAAGTCTTCCCATCTGAGTTAGTCTTTGAAATGCAGCCAGAGGTGCCTGTGCCTCAGGAATCTCTTCGGCGATTATAAATCAATCAAGCTGACAAAGATCAGCCATCAGAAGTTGTTTTTTGTTTTGTTTTGTTTTGTTACTTAATTTTGAAGCAGAGTTCTCTAGGACAGGTTGGCTTCAAGCTTCTTATACAGTCAAAGATCATTTTTCACCTTGATCCTCCTACCTCTGATTTCCAAATGCTAGGATCACGGGTATATGCTACTTCAGCTGCATTGTCACACAGATTTCATTTTTATTTTGTTGTGTTTTTGTTTTTGTTTGTTCATTTTGAAACATAGTCTCATTATATATTTCCAGCTGTCCTAGAATTACTATGTGGACCAGGCTGGCCTTGACTTCGCAGAGATCCACGTGCCTCTGCTTCCCAAGGGCTGGCATTAAAGGCATGAGCCACCACACCTGGCCACACAGATACTTTTAAAGATTTATTTTTAGGTACGTGTATGTGTGTATGGTTGCTAAGTGTGTGGATGGACATGGAGAACAGGAGGAGTCAGGTCCCCTGGAACTGGACTTACAGGTGGCTGGTAAGGGTGCTGAGAACAAAGCCAGTCCTCAGAGGAGCAGCAAGCATTCTTGGCTGAGTTCTCTCTCCAGCCTCGGTCACAGTATTCCAAAACCAAGATACATATGACCCTATGATCTCAAGATTTCAGGTCAGTCCCCCTTCTCCATTTTGTTTGGAGAGTATTTCACTCTGTAGCTCAGGCTTGACTACAGTTCACTATGTAGCCCAGGCTGTCTTCAGACTGGAACCAATCCTGTCCCAACCTCTGGCATACTGAGATTACAGGTCTGAGCTACCACGTCCAATTCAGACAACCACTGCAAAGGTCAACGCCCTTAGGAAAAGTTTGTAATTGCCCTAAAAAAGAGGATGGGGTTGAATTTGTTCAAAGATAACTTGATCTTGCATTTCCATCACAGGGTTCCAAACTCAGTGCCTTCTGGGGCCAGACAGGCCCTGCCAATGTGGGCACAGATC